GTTTTTTTTTTCAGGCAGGACCACTTAAAAATGTATCTGTCAGCTACCTCCTATAGGCTTGTTTTGCTAAAACCTGGTAACTTTCATCTGCCTGCACAAACAACAAAGAAGTTGTGTATTTTAAAAATGTTACAAATACATGTACAATATATATATACCGTATATTAGGGCAGTGTGGTGGTTCAGTAGGTACTTCTGTTGCTTCACAGCTAGAAGGTTCTGGGTTTGAACTCTCCCCCCTGTGACTCTGTCTGTTTTTGGGGAAATGGCCGCGGACTGTTCTGACGTTTGCCATCTGGAATTACGATCCACTTATCAGAGAAATGCAACAGCACATTAATAACCTCTTACACAGAATACAGTACAATGACTGAGAAGAAAAGGGGTCCTGTAGACAAGACTTTAAGATACTGCAAGTTATTGCTACCTCTAATGTTATAAGAAAAAAGCTCACTACTTAGTAAAATATTTATAAGTGGAAACATCTGTATAGGAGGGTGCTGATGTGGTGAGAAAGAGGCTGCCAAACCAGATGCAATGAGGACATTTGGCAACTGCCTGTGGCTCAGTTATATTGCAGTACAGTACTGTATATTTTTCATAGAATGGTGGTACATAGAACCGCAACATACCGTGGTCACGGGGCTTTTGTTTAATAGTACACTATGGGCTAAGATAGGCCTGCTTGATGGATGTACACAATAGCTGTGAAAAGCTATGTGTAAGCTGAGTGCTACCTACAGACACTATATAGTAACAGACATGCTACAGCACACATGCACAGGAAATATGGCCCATTAATACAGCAGAGTGTGACACTTGGAAAGACTTCCTCTGTAAAGATAAAGTTAATCACTTTGTTAGTGGCTTTTTTAAACACAAGGCATTTTCTCATTTCTAACCTCCCTTTTTGTTGGCTTTCCATTTTTCTTTTCTCTCCGAGGTGGTTTGATAAATCCTTCTCCATTGTGATCTACAAGAATGGGAAGAATGGACTTAATGCCGAGCATTCCTGGGCTGATGCACCAACTGTGGCTCACCTTTGGGAGGTGTGTATATTTGTGTGTCTGTGTTCATGGGCTTGTTTGTTTCACAATGGTAAATTTCTGTTTACCACACTAGCATTCGTCCATCACATTATGTTACTCAGAACTCAAATACTGCCAGTGGTGGAGACTTTTCCTGAGAAAAGTCTGTTCAAAGACAAAGATGCGCAATGTATTAAAAGAAAAGCAGCACAGATGATGACACACTGCTGCCATCACCACAGCTCCAAAGCTTCCCGTATTGAATCTGTTACTTTATAAAAGCTAAAGAGAGAGAGCTGCATGTTTTTGTGATGTCCCTCTGCCAGCACATCTGAATCTCCACTGAAAAACACTGACTTGCTAAACCACTGTTGGCCAAAGTCAGTTTTTTCTAGGAAGTGACGGAGTTAGGATGAAAGACTAAAAAGTTATGCTAAGGGATTACTTTAATGGGCACCATGTGGGCCTGCTGAAGCACTGCCTTAAACACATCATTATCAGGCCCACCCGGATGAACCACATGTCTAAATAGCAGTGAGATTTCCCAGAATAATCAGTTTACTAGCTATTAATGTAAACATTCATTCCACTATCAACGCTCATGCTGTGCAAAGGAAAAACATTTCTTAGTGTCAAGCAGCTGGCCTGAGTATGGGACAATTTGTGGTAGCTGTGGAAAGATGGTGTTAGTGTGTTGGGTCAGTCCTTCAGAGTAATAATACACTGCCAATCTAGTGTAAGGTTCTACAAATGCTACAGAATGGAGAGAGATAGTGAGACTTAATCATTTGAAATCTCTCTTTAGACTTGAGCCAGTAATCACAGGTAGAGCAGCAGAATCAAAGGGAACATGAAACATATTGCAAGTTAAAAAATATTTCATAAAAATTCCCACTTCCAGGGTCTCTGTGTTAAAGAGAAAACAACATATATTTTTAAAAACAAATGTTTGATACTAATTTCAACATGTTTTTGGTGTTGTGTAACAGTGAGTACATATGAGCATGTCTCTCCCATTCACCAGTACACCTTGGCCACAGATGCCTTCCAGTTGGGCTATACTGAGGAGGGGCACTGTAAAGGGGAGGTGGATTGCTCACTACCTCTCCCTCAGAGGCTCATCTGGGATATCCCACCAGAGGTACATACTTGGTGCAAAATGTGTCTGTCTGGAACATTCTGTGCTCAGTCATTAGTTTCTTCTTAGCAGCTTAGCTCTACAGGTAGTGACAAATGAATAGAATTTCAGACAGCACAGATTAAAAGCATACCTATAAACATTTTTTGTGGACTGGATTCATGTGTTTTCCCTCACTTCCGTAGGTCTAGAGTTAGGTTGTAACACAGGCCATGAAGCCATTAAAATTGTATCAAGACATCCACTAGCAAGACTAGCGGGTTATTCTAAATACCAGATCTGACTTACCATGCCTTGTGTCCAGGAAACCCAACCAAATTATGACTTGAAGGAGGAGTGGGTGCTGTCTAAATCTTATCGTGTAATGGAATAGAGTGAGCCTAAATGGCACAAAATTGATTTATTTTGACTTGTAATGTCAGTGAAAGTGCAGATGACCACCTTTGTTCCAGTCTTGAAGTCTCTCTTTCTCTATCAGGTGCAGGCTCAGGTAGCCAGCTCCCTGGCTGTTGCCCAGGCGCTGGCAGATGACGTGGATTGCCATGTGTTTCCTTTCAGAGAGTTTGGAAAAGGACGGATCAAGAAGCTTCGCATCAGCCCTGATGCATTCATACAGATCAGCTTACAGCTGGCATACTACCGGGTAACACTCTGACTGGCACATACACACACGGCATAAATAATGTGTATATACAGTATATGTACATGTGTGTGGTAAATGTGAACATCAGAAAGAAGCCTGCTAACGTGAACATTCGATTGTGTTTGTGTTGAATACATTATGAACCTTTCCATGCTAAACTGGGTTACAATCAAATGTATATTTCTTGGTCACCTCTAACACACCAAACACCTCTGGAGCCCTCTGTAATGATAGGCAGCTGAGACCAAGTCTTAACACTTAGGTATGGTACTTACATTCTTATATCTAACAAAAACAACAACATGTCATTGCTCTCGGACCTCTGACACACTTAAGCCCAAAATCTTATTCTGACTGAGCCGCTTGTGACAGAGTAGCCCCATAACGGATTGCTGGTGAAGCGCACAGACCACGCAGACATAGGTGTGCACACACAAACAAACAAACCTACAACTTAGCTAAGCTGTATCATTACTTACCATTTTTCTGTGACATTCACCAACCATTTGATTCCATTTTTTATTTAATCGTAAACCATCAAGGGTGCACACTTGGTGTATTTACTTAAATTCATGTCAGTCCATAATGTCTTGCTGGTTCAAACATTTTGTTGCCATGATTCACCCGTTCAGCGCACGTTCCGGGTTCAAACATTGCTGACATTGTTAAAGTAGTCGAATGCTGTCATGAATGTGACACCATTAGAAATTCAAGGATTAGTTTTAATAATTTTCTTTATTGAAGTGGTTTTATACATGTTATTTAACATAAATTTCTTTTTGATATATTTTGTGAATTAATTGTTCCCAGTAGGAACAAATCTGTAAATGATGGAAAATAATTCATATGTATGTGACTGAACTGTTTATGAGGCAGAGCCTCAACTGTTAAGGGGACAGGTTCTAGTCTGGGTCAGTTTTTGAACTGAGTTGCAAAGAAGGAACCATCTGTCCTGCTGATAACTGTAGAACTTCTCTGTTTTCTTCCTCTTGTTGATCCTGTTTTCTTTTTTCCTTTTTGAAAATCATTTTTACTTTAGTTTACTTGTTAATAGTCAAGAACATATTTATATGGACGACTCATCACCACTTCCCTCCACTACACAAAAGTGAAGCCAAGATATTGTGAATACAATGGCTGCCATTTTGGCTTTTTGCAACCTGATTCTGCACAGTAGCAACCGAGTTGAGTGACTTAGTAGGCCACCAGTCAAAGATGTCAAAACTTCTGTAATACACCCCTTTTTATATCATCAAATAACTTATTAAAAGCGAATATGCTGGCTTTACTTCTAGACATTCCCATGCCATGAAAGCCTAGAATCCATACTTCATGTCTAATACATCAGTCCATGCTAATTCCTGTTTTGTGTTGGATCATCTCAGTTTAATTACAGTATAATGAGTGAAAGATTCTGGGCTTTGTACTTATTGGTTGTTTAACTCCTGGGTAATGTCTGTATGGTTGTGTTGTTTAGTCTCATGTCCAAACCAAGCAGCAGACATCATAGCTGAATGTTGAAAAAATTGCATTAAGATGCAATTCAACACTTTGTTGTAAAAACAGCTGAGATGTTGTTAAAGTCAACTGAAAGAGAATATGTCTGAGTAGAAACTGCAATAAAAGGCTCCTGATCCAAGCTCCACATCAGTCTCGTGGTTTTAATAACCATCTTTTCTTTCTCCCTCTGATTTATATTTAGATTGTGTCCATCCTCGCTTCTCTTCCTTCTGCTGACCTCAGAAATTCTCTTCCCTCTTGCATCTCTACTTCTGTTATCATACCTTTTTGAACTGAACTGTAAAATGTTTGATGTATTCATAGCTTCATAACAACCTTGCAAAATAACAGGGAAGTCAGCTTGGATGGCCAGTTTTGCTTTTAGACAATGGTGTCAATTCCTCTTCTTTCTTTCTCTAACCTTTGTTCTTTTCCACCAGGATCGAGGTGGTTTCTGTCTGACCTACGAGGCGTCAATGACCCGTCTGTTCAGGGAGGGCCGAACAGAGACTGTGCGATCCTGCACCAACGAAAGCTGTGCCTTTGTCAAAGCTCTAGAAAGTGGAGAGGTGCTGATCTTTCTTTAAATTCAAAGTAAATGCTCATGCAAACTTTTAGACTCCAGCTGATCACAATGTCTGTCTGTCCAAAATTACTATATTGTAAAAATTAGTCTAATATTGACTCACACGTCTTAACAATGAGACTATTATTCTGTGTTTAAGGTAAATTTAAAGTTGATACTGTAGACGAATTTTATTTTAGGGATTCCCTGAAAGTATGATTTGCTTTGACAGCCAGAGGAACAATGCAGGCATCTTTTCCGACTGGCTTCAGTGAAGCACCAGAACCTTTATCGAATGGCTATGACTGGAGCTGGAATAGATAGACACCTATTCTGTCTGTACGTGGTCTCCAAATACCTGGGGGTGGAGTCATCCTTCCTTAAAGAGGTAAACCTCTGATTTTGCATCTGTCAGTGTTACAGTGTTATTTTAGTCTTTGATTTTTTTCATAGACTTACTGCACACAGGCTTTGTGTATGCAATATATAGCACTTTTATATTTTAGGCTGGTTCCTGGTCCTACTGTCAAGGTCAAAGTGTTTATTTTGTCATATGCACAGTCAGGAAACGTGTTTCCCTGTACGATGAAATTCTTACTTTGCTGTCCACATGAATGCCACAAAATACAAATGAAATATAATGTAGATAAATAAGTAACACAAAATCTAAGGCACTTTAAGCAGTGAATGCAGCAATATAATAAAAATATATAAGAATAGTGATTGTATGCTGCATGGGAGCAGCATGTGCAGCAGTCAACAGTCAATGTGCAATTATGCATGTGCAAACTGAGAATGTAAACAGTACAGGTCGACAGTACATGACGTATTCCTGGTAATAAACTCCTCAGCTGTTTAGGAGTCTGATGGCAGTCGGAGAGAAAGAGTTTTTCAGTCTGGAGGTCCTACACTTCACACTTCTGAACCTCCGGCCAGAGGGCAGGGAGGCAAACAGTCCGTGCTGGGGGTGGGTGGGATCTTTGAGGATGGAGGCAGCTTTCCTACGCACCCTGCGGTGGTAAATGCTCTGCAGAGAGGGCAGTGGAGTCCTGGTGATCTTCTCCGCAGTCTTTACCACTCTCTGCAGGCGC